GGGGATGACCACCAGCAGAGAAGCATTAGAGGAGACTTCTGCGTTGCCCTGGAGATAGGTTTAGTCTTCCTCACTAAGACCTGTTTAGTAGATTATGAAATGAATTTTGTGGATGATAACCAGTATTTCTTTTAATAATATGAGATAAGGTAGACTTGAAAAAAAATTAGAACACAGCCAATATAATGGGTATATTATGTATTCTGTGCCTTTTTACTTAGTAATGCATTTTCAGTTACGTGTGTATTTGTGAGTACACGTGTATGTGTCCGATCAGGATGTACACTGTATGTTGCACACTATATGTCTCATTGGCAGATACCAAATGAGTGCCTGAAAGTTGCAGTTCATTCCAAGTGTTATTTTAATGGGAGACTGTTTCTTTGGTGAGATACTGTGTTCTAAAGGTTGGTCCAGCGTGTTCTCCCAGGGTCCAGGGTTTAGCAGACATACAGCAGTGCCCTCTTATCCACGGTTTTGTTTTTCTCTGTTTCAGTTACTTGTGGGCAATTAAGTCCAAAAATATTAAGTGGGAAATTCCAGAAATTAGCCATTTGCAAGTTTTAAATTACTTTTATCAGTATATACTGATAATCATTCCATTTTATTACTAGCTATGGTTGTTAATCTCTTGCTGTGACTTATTTATAAATGAAGCCTTATCATAGGTATGTTTGTAGAGGAGAAAACGGTATATCCTGGATTTCAGGCACCTGTGGGATATCTTGGAATGTGTCTCCATGGGTGAGCAGGACTCTGGGTTTTACTGTTGGTGGAGGGGTAGGGGTATTCCTCACATTTTTGCTTGGATGAGTGGTTCATGTCTAGATTCCATCTTGGCTCCATGAAAGGGATCTGAGCGCCAGGTGAGACTGGCCACCTTCCCTCCTTTGACCAGGCAGTTTAAACCACGCGCCTTCTCTAGGAGGAAAGAGGGTTGATTGACAGTATTTAAAACAGAGCAACACAGATTGACAAATGGGGATCCAATAAGGTAGTGAAACAGGAAAGAAGGACACAGGGCAAAGAAAGCAGGGCAGGTGAGGAGGGGAGGGGTCAGAGTCCACCTTCAACTGACCACGCAAGAAGAACAGGAATGTTCAGATCTGTCGTTCTTGATTTTACATATATGATTTCAAATTATCAAGATCATAACCAAAGAAAAGACTAAGTTTTCCAGAACACTTAAGATCCTGCCTTCTATGTCCCTTTTTACAGTTTTATATTATTTCCTGCTTACCCTAGGACTTTCATTTGGAGACAGAATTCCTAGAAAGTTTGAAGTCATGGATGGAAAGAAATGATTCTTTTTTGGGGGGGGGGAAGAGGCATAGAAATTTGGGTGGAATTATGTAATGGGGAAAAATGCAATTTTTATATTGCTTATTAGAGGACCGAACTCTTTGTTAGCTTGAGAAATGAACATGCATCCTGCATTACCTGGCTTGCTTATTAAATTAGCATTTGCTATATTTAGAAATGTAACAGTGTGGGAAAGGTTGCTTTTTCTGTTTTTGTTTGAGAATGAGCAAGGACCTCCCCCCCCCATCCAAAAAATCACCCTTCCCATTTATAGTCCCAATAGGAAGGTAGGAGGATCCACAGATACATGCACCCCACACATATTCCTGTCCCACCTGCCCCCACTCACATGTACATACCTACCTTTCTCCCCCACCAAAGCTCAAAGCTTTTTGCTCCTTTCCGTTAGAGCTGTGTGCCCTGCCTGCTTTGGGTCCTGCTGTCAGAGATGAGAGACAGAAGAACAAGACAGATCAAAAGGGGCGGGAGCCTGCAGTGGCTGGCCTGGTTTATGACAGGGCACCGGCAAATCTAGAGTTCATAGAACAAGCTGGAGAATGTGAATCTGGGGGAAGGAGGACAGGAAGTGTGCTGGGAGTCGGTGGATGGCTGGGCAGGGGGTCTGTGCCTGAAATCCAGACCAGAAAAGGGAGCGAAGTACAAAGTGCAGAGTGCATATGTGAGAACAAGCGGACAGACAGCATCCAAGGCTAACTGCTCCCTGCACACGCACAGGGACTGCCGACCCAGGGTCAGGGCTGCCTGCCACTTACCTTCAGCATCTCAGACACAGACACTCCCAAGAAGCATACCATGAGGATTTTCTGGAGAAAATTACTCCAAGAAGTACTGTAAATAGTCAAAAATGATCAGATTAAAAAACTTGAATACAAAAAGGACATATAATGGTCATGAACAACCAGAACAATAGCGTTTAGAGACGTCTAATTATAGTAAGCGTATTTACAAAGCCAAATGCAAAAAATGTCAAATATCTTGGGCTAGGGATATGTTGAGTGAGGTGATCATGTAGTCTTACTACTTTGCATAGTGCATACAGTAGGTTTTCAAAAAAATATTTGTTGAGTGAATAACATTAAAAAAAAAAAGAAATCGATAATGATAACCCAAAACTGAAAAATCCAGATCATTCTGACAGAGCCAGGTTTGTAGAGAGAGGAAGTAAAATTTTGTTGAATCTTTTATCTCACACAAAGAAAATCAGTGGACACCATTTTATACTTATACTTCACTTGTATACTTATAGTGGTAAGTGATAACCATTTAAAGTTAAAATTAAAGTAACGTAAGAAATAAGCGCTGGAGAAGAATGAAAGAACAAAGAAATAAAAAAATGATGTTGCAAAAGAGAAGGGGCTTCTTTCCGTGTAGTTAAATTTGGGTTGGAAGTAGGACTCTGCTCCTTGGGCCTCAGACAGGCACTAGATTTCCTAGACCCTTTGTCTCTTCATCTGAGAAGAGATGGGAAATAAAAATCTAGAGATCCCCATGACTCCTTCCACCTGTGGGGCTGCAGAATGGGCAAAGAACTTGACCCTCTGGGGATGTTGACAAGTCCTCTTGCTTTTTCTGTCCAGATATGAAAATGACTCAATTTATTATGCTTGATAGGTTAGGTGTAGGCTTTCAAATGGGGACTGTCTGAGGCCATAGCTGAACCCAAGGACAGCTTCATGGTTAGAATTTTAAGCATGAGGTCACCCAGGATAGGGAGGCAATTTGGAGATAGTCAACTTCAACCATGTGCCATGGGCAGCTGTCCTTGCTCCCATGTAGGGACAGGGCTGGGTTTGAGAACAGCATGGAGCTTTGACAGGAACAGCATGAAATTTGGTGTAAAAAAGATTGGTTCAAATTATGCCTCTCCCTTCCTCCTTGTCCCACTTCAGGGAAACAAAGTTGCTAAACTGACCATCGGGAAAATGGGTCTAATCATATCTACTTCATAGGTTTCAGGGAGAGTGAATGGTAAAACGTATACACATGGATTACAATACTGCAAACATAATAGGCACAGGAAAAAAAAAAACACAAGGAAATGCTGAGAGTGTAAACTCACCAGGGTGCAAGTACTTATTTTCTTTTCTGTGTCACATAGATCTTTCTGACATTCAGGGCTAGTATGTTTGCAACTGAAGCAGTTTGTGTAAGATGCATGAGCACACACATGCACCGGGAAGCTGCTGGTCAACCGTGGTGCACTGTCAAACATCCATGTCGTTGTCAGGAGTGAAATTACAGAGCTTGCTTCGGGCGCTAGT